ATAAATTAACTTCTGCATTTTAATTTTATATATTGCTACCTAAGTTTATTTTCTCTTTCATTTTATAATAGCCTTTAATTTTATAATAAATTTATAATTTATTTTAGAAAATAAATCTTAGATTTTGTACGGTTTCCTAGGCATACTATATTATCTAAAAATAGTTTTACTTCTTTTCCAATTCTTGTGTTTCTAATTGGTTTTTCTTATCTAAAGCACTAATATCTTAAGTACAAAGAATATGTCAAGTACAATGTTGAATAGTATTGGAGATAATGGACATCCTTGCCTTGTTCCTTATCTTAATGGAACTGATTCATGTTTCTCCCATTAAGGAGTTAAAACTAAGAATATCCATCTACCCATCCACCCATATCACTTTACTTTTTTTTTTTTGAAAAAAATTAACACCAATCTCTAAATTTTTGAGTCTCCCCTTCTACCCCCATAGGGAAAGTATTAAGTCCCACCAAAAGCTTTTTTTGCATCTACGGATATATGATTTTACTCTTTAAATCTCTTAATGTGGTCAATTACATTAATGGATTTCATAACATTGAGCTGACTTTAAATTCCTTTAATCCTATTTGGTTATGGTATATTATTTTTATAATTAAAATTATAATTAATTTTATAATTAGATTTTGTTTATGAAAATATTTAACTTTTTCATTAATATTTATAAGTGATATTGGTCTGATTTTTCCTGTCTTCAACAGATTTAGATATCATTATTATACTTACTTTGTAAAAAGAATGCTCTTGAAGAGTTTATGGAGCTTTAAGACAACTAACCTTTGAAGATTTGGAAGAATTCCCCTGTGAAGCCATCAAGACCTGATGCTTTTTTGGGGTAGTTCCTTGATAACTTACTCTATTTCTTCTAAAGAAATCTTCCCATCTCTTCTAGGTCATTTTGGTAAACTGTATCCTTCTAGGATATTATCCATCTCAACTAAGTTTTAAGTTTTATTTATATAAAGATATGCAAAGTAGTCTTTTATGATTTTTCCTAATATTTCAGTGGTTATGCTCCTTGTCATTTCCTATTTCTATTATTTCTGATTTTTCCTTTAAAAAAAATCAGGTTAGCTAGTGGTTTGTCTATTAATTTTTTAAAGATCTTCTGTTTTTATATTCTCTACCTTGTTAATTTAAAGTATTTTTATTAACTTTTTATTACAAAAGAAATATATGCGAGTGACAAAAAATTTTAGTAGTTCAGAAAGAATATAAAGTTAAAGATATAAGTTCTGTTTTCCCCCAAAGCACCAGCAGGACTGTCAGTTTTTTTAAAAGCTTAAGACATAACTAATATACAATAAACTGCATGTATTTAAGTACAAGCATATCTTGTTTTATTGTGCTATGTTTTACTGTGCTTTGCAGATAATGTAAATGTTTTCATCAATACTGAGGTAAAATCTTCCACCAGCAAAAAAATTACAACTTACTGTAGACTCAGATGATTAACACTTTTCAGCAATAAAGAATTTTAAATTAATGTATGTACTCTATGTTTTTAGACACAATGCTATTGCACACTTAATAGACTACAGTATAACATAAACACAATTCTTATATGTACTGGAAAAACAAACAATTTGTGTGACTTGCTTTATTGTGATATTTACTTTAAGGAGGTGGTCTCGAAGGAAACCTGCAATATCTCTGAGGTATGCCTATATACAGTTTGATAAGTTTTGACATGTGTCAACATCCTGAAATCATCAACTCATTCAAGATAATCAACATATAGATTACCACCAAAAGTTTCCTGATGCCTCTTTGTAACCTCTCTCCCACCCCTCCTTAAGCAATCACTAATCTGCTGCTTTCTGTTACTACAGGTTAGTGTGAAATTCTTTGAATTTTATAGTAGAATTATTCAGTATGTACTTCACATCTTTCACTCAGCATATAACTATTTTGGGATTCATCCGTGTTGAGAGTATTAATAGTTTATTTCTTTTTACTGCTGAGCAGTACTTCGTAACATGGCTATATCACACTTTGTTTATCCATTTGACAGTTGAGGAGCATTTGGATTGTTCCCAGTTTTTGTCCACTACCGCTATGAACATTCATGTACAGTCTTTGTATGAATATATACTTTTCTCTTGGGTAAATACCTAGAAGTGGATCATATATTAGGTGTATTTTTAAATTGTTTTTCAAAGTGGTTTTATCATTTTATAGTCCCACCTAGCAGAGTATGACAGTTCCAATTGCTCCATATCTGTCAAAACTTGGTAATGGTCAGTTTAAAAAGTTAGCCATTCTAATGGGTAGTGGGACCTCGTTATGGTTTCAATTTGCATCTCCCTAATGTCTATTATGTTGAGCATCTTTTCATGTGCTATTGGCCATTTGTATATCTTTTTAAGAGAAATGTATTTTCAAATCCTTTGCCCACTTTTAAATTGGGTTATTTGTCTTTATTATTATGTTGTAAGAGTTCTTTACATATTCTGGAAACAGTCCTTTATGAGATACATGATTTGAAAATATTTTCTCCTAGTATATGGCTTGTCTTCTTATTCTCTTAACTGTTTTGTCAAAAGTGGAAGTTTTAATTTTGATTAAGTCCAATTTATTATTTTTTTATGGATTATGTTTTGCTATATTATCATAGAAATCCTTGCCAAACCCAAAGTCATAAAGATTTTCTGTTTTCTTCTAGAAGATTTATAGTTTTAGCTTGTCATTTATGACTTATTTTGCATTTTTTTATATAGTATGAGGTGTAGCTAGTCAATTGTTCCAGCATTATTTGTTGAAAGACTATCCCTTTCTCCACTGAATTGCCTTTGCACCTTTGTTTATGGTTGTCCTTTTGTGGGTCTATTTAAGGATTCTTCAGTATGTTCTACTGATCAATTTGTCTGTCTTCATGCCAATACCACATAGTCTTGATTATCGTATTTTTTATAAGCTTTAAAATTAAGCAGTTTGAGTCCTTCAAGCTTTGTTCTTTTTCAAAGTTGTTTTTACTATTCTAGATCTTTTGCATTTCTGTACGAACTTTAGCATGTCAATTTCTACAAAAAGATCTGTTGGGATTTTGGGGTTGTACTGAATCTAAAGTTCAATTTGGAGAGAAGTGACATCTAAATAATATTGTGTCCTCAATCTATGAACATGGTGTATTGCTCTATTTATTTAGGTCTTTAATTCTCTCAGCAATGCTTTGTAATTCTTAAGTGCATTGGTCTGCAAATCTTTTGTCAGATTTATCTCTAAGTATTTAATATTTTTTGATGCCACTGTAAATAATATTGCTTTCAAAATTTCAATTTATGATTGGTCTAGTATATAGAAATACAACTGATTTCTGTATAATGATCTATATACTGTGTCCTTCAATCTTGCTAAACTTATTAGTTCTAGTAGCTTTTGTTTTTTTTGTAGATTCTATCAGATTTTTTACATAGATTCTATGTCATCTGCAAATAAAGATAAAATTTTCCTTCTATCTTCACAATCTAGATGACTTTTATTTCTTTCTCTGGCCTTATTGCACTGGCCAGGACTGAAAACAAGTGGTAAGAGTGGATATCCTGTACATATTTTTGATCGCAGGGGGAAAGCCTTACCTTTTTTTAAGTCATTAATTATGATAATAGCTGTATGTTTTTGGAATGTTATCAGTTTGAGGAAGTTCTCTTCTATTCCTAGTTTGTGGAGAGTTTTAATCAAGAATGGATTCTGATTTTGTTAAGTACTTTTACTGAAATATGGAAGTGATTATATGTTTTTTTAAAGTTTAATGTGGTGAATTATACTGACTGATTTTCTAATATTTAAATTTACCTTGCATTCATTGGATAAACTCTACTTGGTCATGAGATATTATTTTTTAAAAATACATTGTTAGATTCAAGTTGCTAAGTTTTGTTTGGAATTTCTTGCATCTATGTTCACGAGGGATATCAGTTTGTAGTTTTTTGTAATGTGTTGTCAAGTTTTGTAATATAAGTAATGCTGGACTCAGGATGAGTCGGAAAAAGTATTCCCTCCTTTTTAATTTTGTAGTAGAAAATGGTAGTATTTCTTCCTTAAATGTTTGGTAGAATTTATTAGTAAAGCTATCTGGGCCTGGAGTTTTCTTTGTGGGAAGGTTTTTAAACACAAATTAATTTCTTTAATAGATATAGGGCTATTCAAATGATCTATTTCTATTTGAGTGAGCTTAAGTAGCTTATTTCTTCCTGGGAATTTATCAATTTCATCTAAATTGTTTAGTTAGTGATAAAAAGTTGTTCCTAGTATCCTCTGATTTTTCTTTTAATATTTATAGATTCTGTTACCGCTCTCAATCCTGATATTGGAATGATCAGTCTGATAAAAAGGTTTACCCATGACTTTGATCTTCTCAAAGAACCAGTTTTTGGTTTCATTGACTTTATCTATTATTTTTCTGTTTCCTTTTCATTAGTTTCCTCTCTGATCTTTAATATTTCCCTCTTTCTGCTTACCACATAATTTCTGCTTTTATTTATATTATGTGACTTGAGATTTAGTTTATTCTCATTTTGTTTTGGAAAAATTTTTAAGACTGTAAATTTTCCTTTGATCACTGTTTTATGTATACCATGTATCCCATGAATTTACATATGCACTATTTTCATTATTATTTTAAAGAAATTCTGTAATTTCTTTGTATTTTTCTCTTCCATGTAAGAGTTAACAGGTGGTTTCAAAATTCTAGTTAAGGCCTTTTTGTTTTCAACTTTCTGATAATTTATAGCTCTACTGCATTGTGATCAGAGTATTATTTATAATAGTTCCACTCTGTGGAACTTCCTGATATTGTCTTCCCCACAAGGTCTGCACAAGAAGTAGCTTGCTGTGATTTGTTGTTTATTTCTCTATTTACCAGTAATTTGAAGTTTGGATATTATCTGTCTTTTAGTTAGGCGGAGGGTGTGATTTTTTAATTTTTAATAAATTTAAAATAAATACATTATAAATAAAGCTAAAGCTACAATATCCTTCCCTCTCCTCCGAAGGAAAACCACTGGATATTGGCTATATACACTCTTGAAGTAGCTGTATCATTCCTATGCATGTTTTTATGTTTACTAAATATGTATCCATAAACTATATAGGCTGTTTTATGTTATTTAAAGTTTATGTAAATAATATCCTACTGTATATACCCTTTATAATTTCACTCAATATAATTTTGATATTAATGGAGATATTAGTTTATTCATTCTAACTGCTGAATCCCACTGCATGAATAAATAACAGTTTATTATTCATTCCCTTTTGTTGACTCCAATTTTTCACTATTATAAAGTGCTACTATAGACATCCTTAAATACAGGATCCTCATGTGTTAATCTCTACTTAGATACCAAGAAATAGAATTTCTGAGGTCATAGGATATGTGCATTTACTAGGTATTGCCAAACTGTTCTCAGAAGTTCTATTAATTTATACTCCCACTAAAAATATATAAGATTTCTATTTTCTCAAACTCTTGCCATCACTGACATCTCCCTTTCTTCAATTTCTAAAACTAATCAGAATTAACCAACCCTCTTATTGAAAAAGTAGCATTTATGGATAGAAAACTGAGGTGCTGAACTACTGCTTTATGTTTTGTAGGGTATTTTATGACTGAGTCATAAACTAATAGCTTTGAAGGTACAAAACAACTTGCTGAGATTTACTCATTAGGCCCAAGGAGTGATTTAAGCATAGCAGCATGTCTGGGACATACTGTTTTGGCTTCACCATAAAAGTGCTCTGAAGGATACTTTCAGATAATCTGTTTATGTTATAGTGTTGTGTATTTTTTATACTATCTTTTACTAAATGACTATTCAGGAGAAATTTCTGTTTAGTCTCAGTACCAGTAGCAATTACACTTATCTTCAAGATGTGGTTCATTTTATTGATAGACATTGCTTATCCTAGCTCTTTAATTATGCTAAATGTTGAAAACACAAGGTCTACCTTTAGCAAATGCATAGGACCTTAAAATAACTTCCCTTTGTAGAGAGATTCATGTTACCATTTCTATTCTGATTTTGTCAACCTTCTTTATCTTGTATATATTTTCCTAAGCCACCTGAAATGGAATATTTAGTTGCATTTATAACATTAATTAATCAATGCTCCAACATCTTTTTTTTTCAAAAATATTAATTAAAAGTTTCTATCTCATCATTCTTTCATACTGTCAAAGGCATTTCTAATTAGAAACTATATTCTGAGTTCACTATAATGCTTACCTTTTCTGCTACTTCTCTCACAGACTGAACACTTGTTCCATACAGATGGTTGTTATATTGGCCAGCTTCAATGAATTTATGTTCTTGAATATCTTTTTCCATCTGCTCTCTTGAAGTCACAAAATGATAATCTCTTCCATCTACTTCATAATCTCTTTTTGGTCTAGTTGTATCTTTAACAGAAAAGAACTTGAGGAAGTGTTTAGTATTAAAAAATACAACAAATCCATTTTCTACTTAAATAATTGTTATATAAAGTTCAACACAACAGAGATTAATTTAAAATTGAAAAGGGACAATAATATGTAGTGGAGAAATAACTGATAAAATAGCTAAGTATAAACACTAAAAAATGTTTTACCATACACAATGACAAAATGTTAAGAGCAATAATTAAGAATTTTTATGTGGGTTACTCACGAGGAACACACGATCCAAATTTGTCAGGAAATTCCGAGATCAAGTCATCATTTATCCTATCTTTCATGGGTCCCAATATAATCACTGGTCGAGTATAATTAACTATAAAGATAAACTGCATGTTAAAAGGAATAAACACTAAACAAACAATGTATTTATTTCACTGGAGAACAAAATATCTTTAACTGTTATGAAGAATTTGTTTCTTTCTCTACCAGTGATGCCTAACTTGCTAGTTTATAAACCTTCACTAAGATCTTAAACCAAAATCAGTCTCCTGTTGGGAGTTATAGACTTGATAAATTCAACCAAGTTAAATTCAGCATTTTAGCAGATAAGTTTCTGTACATGCTAACATCATCTCATTACAAATAAGAAAACACAGTACTGTGTTTTACTGATCATTTTTGAGGTACGAATTGTAAGGATGCAGATCAAAAGGGAAAAAAATCCCCTAGGTATTAAGAAATGATATAATTACAGTAGAGATCTAGAAAGAAAGGAAACTGGTAGTGAGAGTTATAATTAACACTGTGGTAGAAGGTATGAAAAAGAGGTGATAAATAAGAAAGATATGATAGGAGAATAAATAGGGCCTAGAAACTGATTGGACAAGGTAGATAAAAAACAGAAAGACTGAAGATGCTTCTAAGATTCTGAAGAAGAGTCATTGGAAGTACAGAGATACTATCATGAACACTGGAAAGAAGTGGCCTCTGAAATAAAGTGCCAATGCAAAATGACTAGACTCTACTATACTGTGGGCTAAACTATGTTTAATAAAATACATATAGTAAATGTCTACATTGATACATATAGTAAAAAAAAAAAAAAAAGTACGATTACAACATTTTTTTCTGAAGTATGAGTTAGACTTCATTCCCAAATTAAGAAGTGTATTTTTCTAGAAGATTGTAAAACATCAACAGGCTTCACATACCTTCTTGCTGATTCACTGGTTCATAAGACAAGACATATTCTTCTTGACCACCTATCAGAAAGTTAAAATATAGATAAGAAAACCTATAAAGGTAACAAATGCTAATTCAATTCTTCATACGCAAAATATAAATTATTAGAACTTTCCTGAGAAAATAGCAAAGATGTAAAAAATATACTTTATAAATTATTTCTGGCAAGACTTAGTAAAAAAAGATGGCAAATTACAAAGTCATAAGACAAGTTGGAAAAATGTAAAAACAAAATATAAATGTGCTATTTATTTAATAACTACCTTTCTATTATGCTGTTTTATAGATTACCATTAGATCTTTTTAAAATCTTCATTTGTGATGTCAAGTATGTGCCATTAATTTTTTATTTAGAACCTTTTAAAGATTAATACTTAACGAGCAGTTTTACATATGGGCGTATTAGGTAATTTACTGCTAGTAAGACTATGCTACTTTTTTGGTTCCACCAGGTATAATATTTAACAGAATACATATATATTTTTATAATTACAACTATTTTACAATAAAAAATTTTAATGCAAAGGTAAAACTGTCACTATTTCACTGATGAAAAGATTAACTTATTCTAATAATTCATTTATTTAATAAAAAAACATTTAAAGTAAGTAAAAAAAAGCTTTAGATAAAACTAAATCTTTCCCTTCCAACAAAATGAATCACATAAAACTAAATTCTGCCTTTCCAACAAAATGAATCACGTAGACAAAAGATAAAATTCATTTTGCTTTGATCTTAAAAGCACTTTAGAAGTTAAATTAAATCCTCTAAGACTAAAGGTTTAAAGCTTAACCTATCCGAAATAAAAAAGTTTGCAAATCATATCTTGACTCGATGAAAAGAACTAAAAAGAGTTAATTTTAGAAGTTCTTAACATACACACACACGCTCACAGAAAACAAATAGGAAGAACTGTTAATTCAAGTGGTTCAATGAAAACAATCAATATTGGATAATACATTTGAAGATTTTTTCCTTGCTTAGCAAGATTCTATAACAACCTTTTTATTAAATTTGTCATTGGTTTATATTATATGTATGCAGCTATAAATCTTTTAAATTTATATGTTGGCATAAATATTTTTCCTACTTTAAAAATGCATTTCATTGTTTCTAGGTTTTTAATCATAATATATAAAATGTATATTTATAAGCTGCTTTTTAAAGTACTGTGTATAAAACATGATTTACATATTAGCAAAAACATGCAACTTAGATATTCCACACCTAATAATTCATGCAAATGATGAGACAGACAGTATATACTTTCATTACCTCTTTTTAGCCTAGAAAGCTACTCAACTACACTATGGTAAGTTCTAAGTTAATAAAATGCCAAAATATAAAAAATCACATTCTCATATCAAAAAAAAATTATTAAGTAACTACTATGGAGAAAAAAGTAACCAATCAAATGAATGAGGGTTAAAAGTATATATTGTCAACATGAGAAATAGAAGAGACTGATATTAACAGGATGGACCTTTTGAGCAGCCATACTCATCTGTAATCAAGATTACTTTCATATTAGACAGCAGTAAAAAAAAAAAGTCAGAAAAGCAATTTTAATTTTTAAGGTGCTAGAACTGATAATATTCATGTACTCTCCCTCCTCCCATGCCCAGATCTGTTTAAAAATTTACATGCTTGTATAGTTCACTTAATAATATACAGCTGACTCTTGAACAACTCGGACATTAGGAGTGCTGAGCCCCTGTGCAGTCGAAAATCTGTATATAACTTTTGACTCTCTCAAAATTTAATAGCCTACTGTTGATCAAAAGCCTTACCGATAACATAAAACAGTTGATTAACACATATTTTGTATATTATATCTATTACATACTGTATTCTTACAGTAAAGCTAGAGAAAAGAAAATGTTAAGAAAATCATAAGGAAATGAAAATACATTTATAGTACTTATTAAAAAAACCTGCATATAAGTGAACCTGCACAGTTCAAACCTGTATTGTTCAAGAGTAAACTGTAATACCAAGAATGTAATACAAGACACCAAAAAAGAAATCAATATTCTGGTTTGAGCAAGTGTTGAAAATTTTTCCTTCATCATTTCTTATATTCACCAAAGCCTGGTGATAAACAATAATTCGACCCAGAACAGTATTGGTGACACAGAATAAAAAAGGAAATAAAGTCGATTATAATTTAGCATTACTAAAAATACTTTAATGCTCATGTTAAAACCAGAATTATTAAGGAAAATGGCAAATGCAAGTTTACCCCTCATTTAACTAGATATTTACTTCTTTTAAGAAGTAAATGTACAGATATGTACTATGTTCACAAATAGCATTGTCTGTAAAAAGGATTTTAGTATTTTATTAAAATTTAGAAATTAACTTCTGTACATATAGTATGATTTTACTTTTCAAGTTGAGAATTTTACTTTTCAAGTTGAGAATTTTACTTGGCTCTCTCTGATTTTAAAAGATTAAGTATCCAATTTTCAGGTTTCAGAACATATCACTAAGGGAAAAAAACCCCAAAGTATATATATCACTTGCGATTACAAAAGAACAAATAACTTAAAACACTTACGGTAACTACTTTCACTATCGCTGGCATTAGAAGTTACATGCTCTGAAATTGCAGGACAATGGAAAAAATAAAGAAAACACAGTGTCATGAGTTTAAAAAAGCAAATTATCAAAATAAACATAAGGTGACATTACAAAATGTGGAGATATAAACCACACATACCCAAAGAAATTTTAAAAAGCATTTTTGATTTCCTTTGAAAAGTTTATGTGAATTAGCAAGAAAAATACCCATAATTAAGGACAAATCCTCATTTTTGTACAACACAGTTCATAACAAAATCTTTATTACAAATAGCAAGTAGAATATAACAAAGAGGGCAAAGCAATCCTAAATTATTCCAACCGTAGACATAAAAATCGAAAAGAGAAAATGTAGTTGGCATCATTTAATTTAGTTTATGAAACAATGACTGACAAAGGAGACAAGTTATATCTGAGCAAACAGATGCCCATTTTAATGATGGGATGTCTTAAAAAATAAATGATCTTGCTTTTAGTGCAGCTTCTTGTTCCTAAAAAGAAACAAAAATCTATGTTTCTAAGATCACACAGATAAAGTATTTTGGATGTCACAGATTGAGATAACTCAATAAAAGTCAAATGGAAGGGAATTCTAAAAGGTGGGATGGTCTTTTAAAATAGATTAATATTTCTGACAAACTGCTTTGATAAAATCAACAATGGCTGTTTTATAAAATAAAAAAGATAAAGCAAATATATGCAGTTGCAAATTGCCTGCCCCCTCCTTAAAAGTGACTGCATTTCATAACTTGATTGTTCAGAAAACACCAAGGACTCTTCTCATGTAAATGTAGTCTCAAGTGTTTTGTCAATAAATGTCTCCCTTAAATTAAAAAAAAATAACTTTATAAAAACTAAAAAAAACCAAAATCTCCCCAGAGAGGAAAATCTAAATTTCTTATGTCAGGCAAATGAAAAAAAACATTTTTAAAGGATAAGGAAAAAATCTGAGGAGAAATTATCTGCTGTATCATACCACCCACAGAATCTCCTAAAATCAAGTTGCACTACTGAAAACTTCAGAGAATGGTAGAATTTAAGATTTCAAATAAAGATAACAGTTCTTGAATTGTTATCATAGTAAAAAGTATGTATTCTAACCTGCAAAGAGAAGATACAATTTTTTAAATCATGATTATGTATATTTTAAAGAAAGCAGAAACATTAAAAATTATAATATATGACAAGCACATGTAAAATGGTGGTTTTTAAGTTTATATTTAAAAATTTCTTTCCATGTTACCACAAGAACTTTAAAACAATCATTCTAAATTCTTACATAATATTCTATTGGACTAAGTCAAGATTTACCTTATTTAGACATTTTAGCTTGCTTTAAATTGTTTTCCACAAACATCAACAAATTATTATGAATGCCTCCATTATATAGTTTTTGACCCTTTGTCCTATTTTCCTTGAAATTCGTTCCCAGAAGTAGGAATGCACCCCACCCCAAGTTCTTAAATTTATATTAGGATCGATACTGCATTCGGCAATCTTTAACATGTGAAATAAAGAAACCTGTTACTGCAATGGAGTGAAAGGAGGGGGAGAGTTAAGTGGGAGTACAGAAGAAATAATATTAACCATGAGATGACAATAATAGAAGCTGGGTAAAAGAATACCTGGTGGGGCTTATTTTACTACTCTTCTACCATTGAATATGTCTGACATGTTATATAATAAAAAGTTAAAGATACTACAATCTCTTTTCTACGTTTTCCGGGGATTTCTCCTACTCACCCTGAGTATTCTAAGATTACCAATAGCTCTTACACAATAAAATTCTTCGAGTTCTTTCAAGTATTCTTTTACATAACTCCTCTACAATAAAATCTTGCTATTCAAAGTATGGCCCTTTGAAAAGCATCATCATCATTATCGCTTGGGAGATTATTAGAAAGGTAAAATGCCTTTTCCCTGATAATTAAAACTAATCTTTTTCAAGATACTTCATAAAAGATATTCAAATATCCAATAACACATATAGATGTGTTCAAGTTTTTACTTATCAAGTTTTACTTATTTAAATGAAAATTAAAGGGATAACATATATCTTTACAATCTCCTAGAATGGCTAAAATGAAAAAAAAAAAAAAAGATTTGCCATGTGTAGAAAAGGAAATGTAGCAACTGGAACTCATACTATTGGGGGTGACTGGAGGTAGGTAAATTGGTACAATCACTTTGGAAAACTACTTGGCAGTACCTAAAAGCTGGACATATATATGTATCTATGACCCAGATTCCTTTCCTAGGTATTTCCCGAACAGAAAGACATATATATGCTCACCAAAAGATATGTACAAGAATATTCAAAGCAATGATATTCTAAATAGCCCTACGTATATGTTGATTTACAAATCTGAGACAATATAGTTTCATATTTTACTTTTTTCACCTGTGAGCATTTTCCCAAATTATGTTTTAATGGTTTTCAATGATTATAATATTACAAAGTATGGATAAATCATACTTCCTTAACCACTTCTGAAATGTAAGACACTTTAGGATGATTTCAATTTTTTGGGGGGGGGGAGCTGTAATTTCTAAATAATATTAAAATAAACATCCTGATACATAAACTTTTTATCTTCATCTCTGATTATATCCTTAGGATAAATTCCCTGAAGAGGAATTATTAGAAGGTCAAAAGACATGCTTTTCCAGAAAGGCTGTACCAATTTTTACTCCCAATAGTACTATGTTAAAAGTAGTCACTGGGTTATCCTTTATAAGAAAAGTCTACCAAGGAGATGGGTAAAACATTTTGTTTATTGATTACTAGGGACATTAAACATTTGCATATGCTTATTTCATTTGATTATCTTTTGAGCACTACTCATAGTGCTCTAGTTTTCTAATGGAGAGTTTGTCTGTTTCTTATTGATCTGTCAGAAATTTATAGTGTGAGGATATTAACCCTTTGACATATATGGTATAAATATATTAGTTTTTATTTTATGATGTTTGATGATCGCAATCATTCCAAATCTCTCTAACCACATCTCACTTTTCTAATCAAATCTTTCTTTCTGAGAATGTATCATGTCTTTTTGTGATCTCTAAATACTACACATCATCATTTTCAAGCAATACTACTACTCTTATGCTTATTCTTAACACAAATGAAAATAGGTCTAGTTTTGGTATCTCAGAGCTCTGAACAAATCTGCTTAAATAAATCTTTAAATGAGAAGAAAGGAAAGAGGTTACAGGAAACTTGCGTGCCTCACCGGAAGTTTTAAAGTATTCTATAAAATAAAAAGCTATAAAAATTGAGTTGCATACAAAAGATAGGTACAAACCCTATCTGAAACTGTATTCATAATTTCACTTCTGAGAATCTTGTGGCCCCTTCTGAACTATATTTTAGTCTCCATTAAAGGAATCTTATCCATTTTTTCCCTCATGAACTTGTTCAAAATTACCTTCTTAAAGCACAAAAGCGGCACAGGTACCTTGTCAACTGCTAGTCATCTGTTTTATGAAATAACCTCCATCATATCCAGTTTTAGAATTTTACTGATATTTTTCTGTCTCCCTCCCTCAATATTTTCCAAATAAAATCTTCTTGATCTGATCAAGTTACCAGTTGAATAAATTCTTTAAGTTCCTGGGAGGTGAAGCACAGAAACCTATCATTCAAAGGATCTTAAGTCACAGTTCAGAAAATTAAATCCTTTTCTAAATGACATTGTCTGGTAATCAGCCTACCACTTTTCATTTGTTTCTCTTACCAAGTCCCATTCCTTAATTAAAATGACAGATGAAAATATTATCAACCATCATAACAAAATGGGAACTAAATTCCTCATTTAGTTTCTTTTTCAATGAGTTTTCCATAGATCTCTGATGACTGAACAGATAATAAAAATCTGTGGGTATATTTGCTGATCCAAATCACCTCTAAAATGTTATTCTCAAAGTAAATTCTACAGCATTAAGAATCTGTGGAAATATTTTCCAGTTTTGAAGATTTTCACTGATTTTTCCTAAAGGTAAGAGATTAAAAAAGGGTACTACCAGTGGTAGTAAAAACTGACTCTTGCCAAATCCCAGAAAGGCACATGCAAAAATAATAAAGTGTGTCTAATAAAAATAAATATATATATAAAACATACCTCTTTAATTTAATATAAGCTTTAATTGTTGAGGTTGAAATAAAAGTCAAGTACCTATAGCTTAGATTAAAATTCTAACATAGAGTTAAGACAAATCAGGAAAAACTATGAAATTTAATGTTTATTAATGCAGACTTCAGAAAGTTAAGATATTGGTTCTATCCTTAATGATCAATGAATTATAAAGAAATGTTTTCAAAAATGCTTAATAATCCAAAGGAAAAGAATTACCTAGAAAAAAACTTTAGCTCAAAAAATTACTTTTATAAGTCACTGTCACCTGAAATAATTTAGTAATATTTGGTAAAATTTCACAATTAATCAATTTGAAAATACTCAAATTAAAAATTTTGTTTGCTTAAATGACTTGTTTCATTCATTCATTCCACCATCCTTTAAATCAGACTCTGTATCAAGCTTTATATGAAGATTAAGTATTAGCTAGAAAATTAAATAACACAACAAAAACCAAAAACAGAGACGACATCTTGATTAAATGAAAAAACAGGGATAATATTTCTTATAAGTCTTTTCATAAATTGCAACCTCCTTAAAGAATAGATATAATTTTTTTCCCCTACACAGACTGCTACTTAAACTTGAGTTCAACAAATCTCTAATATTTAAGATCTATTGTGTTTTATAGTTTCACATTATAGCAATGCTTTTCTAACACAGAATCAAAGTGATCTTGTTTTAACAAAAAAAGAGGGATTATTTTGTACATTCTAACAACCAGGGCAGGTAATACTATTTAAAAAAACTTTTAAAAAGTCTTCATATTTAAAAATTCCCTGATGAAAGTAATTGCTATAAAAATTACAAAAAGGAAAATGTAAGTATGAGCAGAAGAGTTTTTCAAATGATGTGAAAAATGGAGCATTAGAAAAACAAAAGGTGTGTATTACAGAAATAAAAATCCCAAGCATATTATTAACATGAAAAGCCTAAAAGCAATCTAAATCATACACCTCCTCATGCCAGAAGGGCACTACCATGATTCTCAAAATGTATCTGAAAAAGTAGGTCTGTAGATGGAGGTTAAAAAATAACTTGGGAGTATTTTGATCACTTACTCAGGCCTTTTGATCCCATGTCGTCAGGGATCTCCTGTAGAGAGTAGTTCCCAGAGAGCAAGCAATAAAAAGATAATCAAAGAAAATAGTTGTCAGTAATGCATAAAATTGGTGCTACAGTAAGAGACAGTTCCAAGACCATTACAGGTACACATAGCTTTCAGAGCATTTTTGTAGATTTCTGAAAGTTTGAAATAAGCTAGCAACTAAATGTAAACTAAAAGGATGAAAGTTCTATCTTAGAGGCTGATTAAGGTAGAGCAGCAAAATTTGAGACTACTTATATTATAAAAGTAAAATTCAGACTGTGTACAGATAGGAAAGAAAAAGTATAAAATGGAATGATTCCAGGTGTTCTATTTATCAAAGACTGCCAATACTATACCTAGAAATCACTAAGTAGCTTCCCAAGTATCCATATTTTTCCTCTAAAATATTCTTTGAGAGAATATTAAGTATTATAAGAACGCTTACATCAAATAATTCTATTTTAAACACATAGTTTAAAAATACTGTTTACTTTAAATTAAGAATTCTTAAGGTACCAGAAAAAGTTAAGATTGGTATACAAATTAATTTATGCCTATTAAGTTGCCCCTGGTTAAGACAATTAGTAACCTGTTGCAGCTCTTGAAACTGTCTCCATGGTAACAACCAACTGCAGGGCAGTAGGTCCCTCTACATTTATTTTCACAGTTGACCACTGGATCCACATACTTACGGTCAGCATCACTTGTTTCCTGCTCACTCTGGTCCTTGTTCTTGTAGAAGGGGAATTTTCGGGAAAAGAGGTTCTTTTTACGCTTGTCATTGAATGACTGCTGAAGAAGAGAAGGAGGGGCAAAACAAAGGGATGTCTACTGTCTGTGTGTACAAAGGCCCAGCCTAGTAGCTCTGTGGAAGCTGACTCTTGTGACCACAGTGTGCAGTTTGTATATAAATTTTACTTAATCATACATAAATCGAATTTCTAATTTTGTATTAACTTCTCTAATTGTTTTACAGTGGAAAATACTGAAAATTTAAAGACTGTTAATTCAGTAATACCTAAAAATAAAGAATAAGTGCTACTTGATAAAAAATGGAAGAGTAAATCTGATTAGCTACTACTATAGTATAAACCAAGTTAACATCCATTCAATCGATATTTTTCTAGATTTCCAGAAGCTAGGTGTTGCTCTATAGCAAAAGCTGTTTCAAATGTTTACTTTAGCTGTTCGAATATTTGTTTGAATTAGGTAATAAATTTTCCTTTTGCTTGAGCCCATTCCCCGCCCCTTTATTTTTTTTTTTGGTATGGCTCCAGCAAACTAACAAAAACTACTACTAAAAAAGAAAGCCAAAACAACTGTGAAAGTTACCAGTTCTGAATATTTAAAAACAATCCATCCATCCTGCCATCCTTCCTTCCATCCTTCCTTCCTTCCATCCTTCCTTCCATCCTTCCATCCTTCCTTCCTTCCTTCCTTCCTTCCTTCCTTCCTTCCTTCCTTCCTTCCTTCCTTCCTTCCTTCCTTCCTTCCTTCCTTCCTTCCTTCCTTCCTTCCTTCCTTCCTTCCTTCCTTCCTTCCTTCCTTCCTTCCTTCCTTCCTTCCTTCCTTCCTTCCTTCCTTATCTATCTATCTATCTATCTATCTATCTATCATCCATCCATCCATCCATCCATCCATCCATCTATGAAGAGAAAAAAGATAACTAAATGCTTATGGCATGCATCAAAAAATGGGAAGAAAACTAAGAGGGATCCATTAAGCCTAGATTCCAGCAAAAGATTATCAATGCTATTTAATCAAGGAAGAAGAGTTAGAACTCTTCTGGACAACTTGAATGCTATCATAACTGATGTATTTGTCTTTAAGCTCTAAGATAATTGGATAGGGAATAAAACATTTGGTGCCCATAAGAGCCACAAAGGCAATTAAGAGTTGAATAGATTATATGTAATTGCTATGAGGGAGCTGCACAACTGATTTGATGTCCCTTACTGCACAGATGTTAGAAATAAAATTTTTCCATTCCTGAATGTCTCATTTGTGCATTCACAGATTTAAAAGCATGTAGAACAAAGGTAAGGCAATTAGAGAAGAATAGCTCCTTTTGTAATTTCTGTCATAGGCACCCATGTCTTGAAGGAAATGGTCTTATCTACCAATGACACTAGAAATTAATATTTTTATTATTTATTTTTTGAGGCAGGAATACAAAGAATAGAAATTTTGTTCTGATTTTTCCTGAGTTTTCATGTTATAAGATGCTATCATTATTCTTAAGTATACTGACACCAGGCAGTATGTTTTTAGCATGCCTGTATTTTTAAGCATGTAAGGCCAGGTGATTAAGGTGCTGAAGTAGATTAAAGTGACTCATTTCAAATTCTATTACCTTTACAAAAACAAGGTTAAATTTTCATTTTTATCTTTTCATGTCAATAATTCCAGATTAAAGTTCATAGTCAAGCATATTGCCTTGATTTCAATCTTAAAATTTGAAAGTTCAAATACCTCTCAGAAGAAGTTGAAAATTAAGTTGATTAGTAAAAAAAAAAGTGGAGAACTCTGGGCTTATAATTATTTTATAAACTGTCAAGTAGCATTATTTAAATAAAAACAAGTTTCAATAGAGAAAATTTTATGGTAATCTAATTTAGGGAAGGACTAAATTTTTTGTTCATGATAATCACTGCTTTTGAATTTAGTAATAATTTTTATATCTGATAAAATTAATATTTTAAATAAAAGATTATTTACCCTTTCTACTGCATATATAGTGGTCAGAGTCAGTTTCACAGCAAACAACCGAAAGAAACATGAAATTTAAAATGTTTGATTTCTGATATCTTTGCAGTTAGCCAGAATGAGATATCATAAAGATATCATAATGTGGGACAGAAAGAAATGCTTGTTAGTTAAGTACTGTATTAATTGTATTACATTTAACACCATCCAGGTGAAGAATTTATTAAAAGTAAAATAGCACAAGCAAACAAGACAAAAATGTGTAGATGGAGAAACAAATTACCCCAGTTTCTCTATATTTCCAGTACAAAATATGCTGTTTAATTACTTATTGTTATTAATGCTATATTGCAAGAGACAGTGTAACAAATATAAGAACTGATAAAATATCACACATTTGATATATATTAAATATCTGAATATATCATTTCCATAGGTATTTCAATATAGTTAAATGAATGTTAAAAATATTAATGAGAAACTGAAATGTTACAAGTCTGTAGTGGAATTAAAGTCCATAAACCACCAACCACCATGTAAAGAAAGGAAAAGAAAAACTTAGAATGGGAAATAGTGTTATAGAAAGAAATGCAGTTCTGTATCAATGGCAAGCGTATTTTTTACCCCACTCAGTATCATGCATTCTTTTGGTGCTGTGTTAGAACACAGTGACTGTTTGTAAAGTTGGTTACAGTCAACTAACAAGACTAAGATTTAAATATGTCGTTAATTCAGTTAACTTCTTACAGTATGAAAGGAAAGTTACAACATGCAACTCTTTTTCAATACATTGACAGTGTATTTTACGAAATTATTTTAAAAAACATACATAAAATAAGCACAAAAAGCATTGTATATATTTCAAATCCTGAGCATTTACTTGGGATTTTTTTCCTCCCCCAATTTTTTATTTTAAATATTGCTTCAGAACATGATATATAATTTTGTATTTTCTGAAAGCTACAAGTTAATTTTAAAGAATTTATTATCTCTAAAATAATTGAATGCATTATATGATTTACTCAGATTTAATTTCTTTGATCAAGGATCATATTTCCTATCTTTAAAATTTTAAAGTTTTAAGTCTGAGTGCTTAGTGATAGCAGAGATGTACTAAAATAGGGTTAATTTATTTGCTGAGTTAACATTCTCTATTCATTTGAAATAAGATCAAAAGATGTGCAAAAGTTTTGCTTTAGATTAAAAAACGCAGCAAAACACAAAACATTGCTACTAATAGTATTTCAACATAATGTGTGTTCAGCTCTTTCTTCAGGCTTTTTGCTAAAATATTCCATTGCAAGAATTACAAATATAGTACAAGACAAAGTCTGTAAGATCTCTTTCATCTACTGACATCCATTTTAAGCAGGACTTAAAAGTAAATGAAAACAAAAACACATTTAAAATATATATGAAAGAATTTCAATATATTTCTTGACCATCTACCAACTCTTCCTCCTGACTGTCCTTTCCTTTATTCCCTCAAAATAAAAATTTGTATTCATTCAAACATTTAAAACATGGATTCCATTGATTAAATTAGAGATAAAGGGGAAAATGAACAAGGAAATTTCCATGAATTCACTTGGAAAAAACCCATCAACTGACATTATGACTTAGTTAATAATTTGGGGGGAGCCTATTTTCTCAGAAGATTCATTAAGTTAGCTATCATGACTAATATTTGGTGACCCAAGTTTCTAATTGAACATCTGCATGAAGGCTGACTTCGTTTCAACTGACCAAAAGTATGTTGTTAAGAATCTATCAAATGACAGTTTTGATAATTTGGCAAGGTCTGTGAAATGGGTGCTTCAATAAATTGCTTACTTTAATATTTTCTATTGTAAAGCACCACAGCGAGAGCTGCTCATAGTAATTCTTATGGCAAAATCTTTTTCATTTTAATAATGTAGCTCAATAAGAATTATGAAAATGCCTATTATCCTTAATTAATAATTTCTAGAAATAAGAGATTTCATATACTCACCCCTTTATCGCCTCTTGTTTTAGAATTGAATTTCACTGTTTTTAATCGGGCTCGTTCTTTCTTCTCAACCCTGTCAAAGTACACAATATTATATTTTAGGTATACCAAAAACATCTAAGGATCTAACTACAAATCATTAGAACTGATACTTTGATATGGGGCATTTTCATATTCTAAAACCTATGAAAGTAATCTAGGTTTGCATCCTAAAATTAATTAAAACTTCTGAAAAATGAAATATAAGGCTCATTTTATTATGAAAAAAACTATTTGTGAAGTATGAAAATACAGTACATATATGTGTACTTATATATGCACTCAACTCCATAATTATTCTGAAATTATTATAAGGCACCACTTCTGAGTTTAGTAATTTTCCAGGTTTTGTTCTTTTGTTTATTAGGTTGGCATGGAACACATATGCTAAAAAGTAAACATGCGAGAGAGAAAGCAAATGGGGCAAAACGTCAGCAATTGGTGAAAGTAGGTGAAGGATATGTGGGTGTTCCTTGTACTATTCTTGCATTTCTCTTGTACTTATTTTTCTATATCTCTAAAAATTAAAAAATAAAAAGGTGACAAATAAAAAAAATTAAGCTTAACTCCAATAATATATTTGTGTAAATATATAAAGTTACCATTTATAGTGTACGAAATAGTTTTAAAGTATTTTTGGAAGGATATACAAGAACTGGTAACCTTAGTTATCCCTATGAAGGTGAATGGTTGCTTGGGGAACAAGGTTAAGAGTTTGCATAGCTTTCAGATCTTCTGAATTTTGAATCTTGTTAAAGTGTTACCTATTCAAAAATGCCTATGAATTAATGCATTTTCTTTATTTTTAAAATTTATTATGTAGCTATATAGTTTTACTATGGGATAGTAAAAAAAAAAAACTTTTAACAGTCATGGATTTAGAACTTGTATTTCTTATTATTCCAGAGCAATCCTGAAGATCCATAACATGAATAATAATTTATAATTTTGCTTAGACATTGAGGGCACTGCAAAACTAACATTTAGTGAGTGAACATTTACAACTCAAAATGGCTTTGCTTTCTAATCATTATCTTATTCACTCGATAGCTGAGTGACTTAAATTGTGTTTATTTGTAAATACTGTTCCTGAAAGAAAGCTAAGCATTGTAGGAACTACAATTTCTTGTGCTATTATCAGAAGTAGTCTAAGAAAGAGTTCTATTTAAGAAAATATACGTTTTAAATACATTCAAGAATGAAATAGCATAATTATTTGTGATTTCATACTGTATTTTATGGGAGAAAAATCATATTCTATAATGTTACTCATGAATTTGGGGATTTGGAGTAATCCTAAGATATAGCTCTTATATCACTTATGGCTTTAAAAACCAATCTTATAAAATTTTTATAGAAAATGAAAAAAATCTCTTTTCACCTAAGTCAGCTGTATTTCTCATTTGTTGCAGGCATATATAAAAAAAGCCTTTGCAAGATTAGGAGGCTCCAAGGGATAAGATAATTTTTATAAACTCTGTCCTTGATATTTAAGATGTGAGGTTTTTACTGACTGAACGAGACACAGAGAAAACATTTCTGAATTTGAAGGAGACTATATTACATTCCACGAAAAAAGTAATGCTGAGGGCTACATTACTAAAAGAGGAGTTGCCACCAAATATAAGATCTAATTAAATAGCTGGATCTTGCTAAATATAAATCTAGACAACAACAGACATAAATCCCAAAACCGTAACTACAAATCTTTGTAATACTTTAATATTCTACTCTTCAACTTCTACTAACACATATATAAGTGTATATAGGTAGAAGTCTAAAATAGGTATATGATTTGGCATAATTATTAATTTTAGAGGCTTTACAAAACAAGTATAAATCCAACTCATAAGAAAAAAAGACAAGTTTATAACATCATAAGCTTGACCTAAAGTGAATTAACCAGCTATAATAAACATTAATGTCTCATTAATAATTTTTGCTGGCTATCTTAAAACCTAGAAAAAGATCTGCCTGAATCAGATCTCATAAATAAACTACTTTGGGGGAATAATAATATCCCCCTTTTCCACAAAAGTAGAGACATTTAACTGCATTTCATAGATTTTAGAGGGGTTTTGCTAAGCTGGGATCATTCTTTTTAAAGACAATCTGCACTTAAACACTTTTGCCACTAGATGGTAAGTATGCACCAATGAATCACTACAATAAATGGTTAAAAGTTGAGGAAAGACAGTGAATGTATTGATAGTTCTAAATTAAGCAAGAAAAGAGAGATGTGAAGCATATTACCAGATATTTCTAAATATTCTGCATTTATTTACAATGCTTTCATTTTTTTCTAGGACTAAATGAGGTAATTCATATAATCAACAAAAGACCTGAAAATTTAGGTTTTATCATCACTTACATGGGAAAACTACAGAGGCATTTATTTCCCTCTCCCTCCACTGACAAGAGATATATGGCAGTGACTTAGAATACACTTATTTTGTTTTTAGCAACTAGTACTTGAGCTTTAGAGAAATTTCTGTCTGGGAGCACTGTATACTCTAGTTATGTTATAGGTTACAGTATAAATTGAATAAAAATTAAATGGTTATAGAACATGATATGAAAAGCCAAGTGTAAAATCATCACCTCAATAAAAGAAATTTAAAGGATGAGTATTTACTTGTTTATAAAGCTCGACTTTCAAGTGGTAAGGCTGTAACAGATTTATATTTACCTGCGTTTACTGGGAATCACCCCAACTTCATCACTCTCACCGTCTGGTGTAACCTGCCTGGCTTGCCACCATTCATCATCAGAAGCATTAATAACATGGAGGATATCTCCAAACTTGAAGTTCAATCCCTGACTGGGAAGGCCACTATCCTTAGTCTTGTCATAATCAAAAAGAGCTCTAGAAAGAAGAAAAAGTCCATTATTTATTACAATGATGTTATAATATTAAACACAGGATTCTGAAAGTGTTTTAATTTGGGTATATAATTAAATGGTATACGACAGTAGGCAAAATAATGCCAAGCTCAATTTTGTACTATATACAAGAAGACAATGAGACAAAAAAAAAAAAAAAAAAAAAAAAAAAATAACTTTTATACTACCTTATTTCTCTCAGTACTGTATAAGAAATTCTAAAAATGCTTTTAGTACAGTTCAGTAGCAATCTATATTGAATTCCAAAATGAAGACAAATCTAGAGAGTTGCTCTAAATTAATAAACAAAAGTAAATATTAAGAGATTCTCTTCTCCTTTGACTAGACACACTTGGAAAAACCCTATATCAACAGAGTGATTATTTTGCCAGTTAATTATTCCTTTCATTTGTTCACAAAACTAGAGTTAATAGGGTAACAATGATGAAAACTAACTACAGATGACTTTAACAGCTGCCAAATATTTTGGAAAAAAATTGTATTAATGTAGTAATTGAAAATGTTAAAAATATTTTTAAATTGGATAAAAAGAAAATATTGTTTCCTATTTGACTAATTAACGTACAATACTTAACAAATTAAATTCTTATATCCAAAGAAGCTCTGTTTGAAAAGGAGTCCAACAATTACATTTATAACACAATTTATTTATTCTTTTGTTCTAATGTGGCAACTGGAAATTAAGATACAGATCGTATTCTTTTTCATGCTACCCAATGTTTAAGAACCTTTCTCTTGCAATAAAACTGAAAAAGGGTGGAATTATTTGATGACTACATGAATAAACTAATTAATGTGAGGATATCTTTAAATGTTTAGTGACTTTTGTTTTCAGTTTTGTTTTCAAATGTGTTCTTCCAAGGTTTTTTCAGGGAAACAGGTGGGACCAAAAGTGGGAAGGCTTAAACATATATTAAAATGTATATAATATATTGGGTTTTATCCAAAGGAAGAATTGTACAGCAGAAAAATAAAGATTACAAATAATATAAATGCCAACTCATTACTTCAACCAATATATTCTGAACTCTAAGGTAGTGTTTTCTACTGGAAAAATATAGCTAACTTCTAATAATACAAAGGTTTGATATAGTCAGTCATTTATTATTTATTTTAAAAGGTAATAAAGTAGATATGGCAAAGATAAAGATGACAAAGATGATGAGGATACAAATAAACATAACATAAAATAGAAAATAAAGTACGTTAAGTAGAACAAATGCCGAAAGATTCAGAAAAGAGAAAATATTACATTGTAACACTTATCATAAATTAATCTTTTGAATTATAAAAGTAATATAACTATATAATTGATGAGCAATGGAGAAAAGAAATCACTCCAACCTCTACTCACTATGCTAGCATTTAGGCTTTGTCTTTCAATATATTTGATTCATTAGAAAAAGGAACCCATGGAATACTTATGTGAGTTACTGATCATCAGAGTATAATGAACACTATTAATCTACTATCCAACGAAAGATTATATACAAAACTTTTATCAGTAATTCATGTTTACTTATATATTTTTTCCCCTTGATCCTGATTCCCTCAGACTAAGAGTAAAGCATTATTAGAAGGTAACCACCATTTTGAATATAGTGTTTATTATTTCCTTGTCCCTTACCCTTTTTTTTTTGTTGGTTTGGTTTTATCGCATATATGTGAATGACTAAGTAATTATGTACATTTTTACTTGTTTCAGAGCTTTATAAATAGTATCATACTGCATGTTGCCATTTGTAGCCTTGATTTTTTTTATTTTTTACTTTTTATTTAAATACATTTACTAAAAAGAACCATTAGACTTCTCGCAAGACTGGTTACATGTATCTATTTCTTCTCCATCCAGAAACTCACTTAAAGTGACAAAAAAAAGAGAGACAAATACAAAAGAGAAATGACAACAGGAGAATTGTTCCCAATTCCATAGAAGACAAAAGATTTAGTCTCTGGAGAAATTAAATTTGAAAAGCTCTGGAATATGATAGGGAAGTGGAAGATGCTGGGCTGAAAATAGACGGGTTAATAAATCTGCAACACTGAAACTAAAAACTAGTAACCTGGTTTACACTGTAGGCAAGAAATCAAGGATTCTTCTTTAGAGATATTTAATGACGTCAAAGAAAAGAATGACATGGGGAGCAAGAGGGCAATGAAAAAGTCAATTACCTTCCAGTTAAATTCACCAGCTTCAGTCTCTATTGATAAGACTAGAAAAGTCATTAAACATTTAAAGATATCCTCACACATAAAAAACTAAAGGAAATAAAACCCAAGAAAACAAGCAGACTAGAAAAAAGGAATACAGAGAAAGTAGAGAATTCAAGAAGCAGAAGAAAACGTTAGAGAAACATGAGATATTATGTCCACAAAAATGAAGATGACCCCCCCCCCCCAATCCCAATCAAATAACAAGGGGTCCTTGGAAAATAAAGTATCTTAACCTTCTACAATCCCCAAGTTCTCTATTAAGAAGAAGGCAAAATAAAGTCATTTTCAGACATGCTAAGACTCAAAGAGTACCTCCTACACAACTTTTCTCAGGAATTTACTTGAGGATGTACTCTGGCAAAATAAAAGTAAATTGAGAAAGAAGAAAATGTGGAATCTAGGAAACAGACTGACACAGTACAGAACTAAAAGGATTAGGATAATGGCAAAGGCAAGTCCCATGTGAGAACTATACAACAAGTCTAGAGAGCAACTAGTTCGTCCAGATTGGAGGAGAAAGATGGGGGAAAAAAAAACCCAAAAAACAAAAAACACCTGAATTGATAAGACCATATGTATGACTATATGTATCATCATATGAAAAACTATATAGAGAGGTTACTGGAAGATAAAGGAAGACACGTAGTAATCTAAGTACATGGAAAATTAAGCAAATGAAAATGAGACAATTTTTAAGTCTAGGAAAAATGAAGCGTTGCAGAAGAAAATAAATGTAGTCATAATATACTGTTTGAGTAATGACAGATATTACTTAGTCACATGACTCTAAATACTATTAATTTTCTTAATGGTGACAGAACTATGTTTGAGTTACAGGAGAAGAGGCAGAATGAGTGGTTTGGTATGGGAAAGTTCTCTCTATCAAGGCAGTTAGTCTATAATGTTCAAAGTTGGTAAATTAGAAAACAGCAGTATATGTATATTATTTATAAATTTGGAGGTAAAGGCATGGGAGTTTGCTAGGAAAATGTAGAATGACTGTTTCTATCAAATGAAATTTGATAGACTATTGGGAGGTCACACTTATTTTTCATTGTAAGGCTTTTGACAATATAACTTGTAAAAATAAAATATTCTCTAAAAATAAAAAATTAGTAACAAAAAGTGGAGATGACTCAGTAAATGCACCTAAAACAAATATAACCTAATGTTTTGATTTTTATGTGTATTTAATAAATCATATATTAAAAGTAACAGTTGTTCATTATACTAAAATTAGAAAATATAGATAAGAAAATGAAAAAAAAGGAGAGTTTAAACAAAAACCCATTTTCCCACTTTTTATGAATACCTATATATAAAATACTTCTAATAACTTTGGAACAAAAGTGTTTAATAAATATTGCAAGAATTAGTGAAAGGAGAAGAAAATTTTATACATTTAGGATTCCCAGATCGTAGGTAGGGCAGAAGGAATGAAAGTGGTAGAAATAGAACAAGAGAAAAAAGTGAGAAAAGTTTCCTTTTATTATGTCTTATAAAATAAATGCTTTACGACAGTAAGTCATATCATATGTAAACTACAGACTATATGTTTATGTGTACAGATGTATTTATACATATACAAACATATATGAGATACACGTCTATTTTAGGTAACATATATCATCTTTCACCAGAAGAATAAAACATGTTAGCAATAGGCTTCCCAAGAGAATCCAAAGAAATGAGAATATTTATGAAGAATGATATAGATTACTTGTAACAAACACCTAAAGTTAAAATAATAGTAAAGCACTCAGTTAAAGCTCTACTACAAAAAGTATATAGAATAAGTATACAAATAAATAGAATATCTGTATTGTCTTATTAGCCAATGAAATGAAAAAGAATTTATATATTAATGGTATCTAATATTATATTTATGCTGTTACATTAATCTTATGTTATAGAAAAATAATACGTTTGTATTCTCCCAAGTGTTTAAAATGAATGTAGAAATTTCATGAATCTGTACTCTTTACTCAGGCAATTCACATTTTAAGCTATTATTTACATATGTTCTCTTTGCTATTTTGAAAATTGACATGGTAATTAAATGTTACACAAATGGAGAATTATTCTATTATAAAAGAATACAGGTAAATATAAGTGTTGAATGATATGACGCACCAAGCTGCAACAGTGATTCAGTAAAATATCAACTTGATAAATTTCTAGTCTACATATAGTCTTTCTTTTTCATACCATTATTATTCAAGGGGTCGTATAATTTCCATTAATCCAATTATAATAATTTCCAACTCTTGAAAGACATATTTTAGGAAACCAATTATAAAAAAAACATTTCTTGGTTTGCAATATCTATAGTAAAACTAAGTCAGTCATAGTGAAAAACCTGGAAGAACTGAATGCATAAATAAGGACTGTCATAATTAAAAGTAAAAAAATTTACCTGACATAGAGGGATCGTTTCTGGCTAGTTCGAAGAGAACCTGATCCTGAACTAATGCTACTATTCATCATCTGCTCCCGTAAGTCATGTATTTTGGCTTCAAAACGACTGTATTCTGATGGAAGAAAAAGAGAAATGAATTTATATTTTATATTCTAAAAAGTTACTTAAAGTATTAAATATGTAAGCTGTTCTATAAGTGTAATTGATTAAATGTGGTTAGAACCTTAAGAGAGTAATCTGTATTAGATTTTGCCCAATATGCAAATTTCAAAAAAAAAATTAATAATCCTTTAAATGTACCATAAATTATTATTGGTTGAATTAGAATTTTCTCACATGCTATTTTAAAGTTCATATCACATTTAATCAATTAAGACAATTTCCATGCATCAAATAGCAGTATCTAATCTTATATTACTAATTTAACTATACATTAAAAAAATTAAAAATCAGGATTGTGATTTTTATATTTAAAAAAAGAAACCTATAATAATTTAAAATAGATGCTTTGTTTACTTTTTCCTTGTGAGGATATGAGTCAATCTTATATTCTTAAATCAGAATTTTTGCAGGGTCAATAACATCTAGGGAAATACGCCTTAAAAAACTAATGAATGAAATTAAATTTACTTTGACACATTTTATAATTTATAAATTTTCAAAATGCCCAAATAAGACACAAAAGCAGTCTGAGGTAACATTTTATTTAAGATATTCTTATATGAAAAAGTATGATTTTGAAGATGGACTATTTTAAACTATATCATATTAAAAACTACTAAATCTATTAATAACAAAAACCTTAAGCACTTTTTCAAAAACACTGCAATTACATGGTTATACACATTTACACCATTATCTCTATTTATAATAAATATATTATTTTACAATTAGGTCAGATCCCATCAGATTTCCTCATAAAACCAGTCTTGTAGCAAGAGCAAACAACTTGTCTGAGCATTTCTATAGTTGAAGAAGACAGAGTCAAAAGTCAGCATGATTATTGTTGAGTTACTCTTCCTTTCACTACAGTAACCTAGTTTGTTTTATGGATACTGAAATTAATTGATTTTGATTCATCAAAAAACTCAAACATTTCAAAGTTCACATTAACGTGTAATATTCTTTTATTGTCCTTTAAAATATAATAGAAAATTTAAAGTATAAACATTAGTAGATTGATTAGTATAACATATCCACTACAATTTAACAATTATCAACTCATGTCAAATCTTTAGTCTGTATAGACACAGCTAAGATACAGACAGACTGATGGATGAAGATATAGATAAAAATATAAAGTGAATCATGAGTTTATACTGGTTCTTCTAATTAAAAATTAGGACCATTAGGTTTTCTATCCTTTTTATCATGTCTGTATGTACTTTCTTGCATATGAAGAATCCTGGTTCTCAAGACACTGGGGATAACAGAATTAGAGTACTGCATAAGTGTTAATGCTGTCAACTAGATATACACAATATACATTTATGTTCATTTGTTCTTTTTTATTTCCAACTTCAATTTTTAGAAGTTGCTTTTTAAATTTTTCATTGTTTTTATAGGTAGTTAAATAGTTTCAAAGTCAAATCTGTAAGACACGGATATTAAAAAAGATATCTAGCTTCTATTCCTTTTTCCTACTTAATCTGTCCTGGTCATTATATGTAAACATTTAAAGAAAGATTTATTCTTCCACTTTAAAAATATAAGCAGATACATACGTACATGCAAATATATTTTATGGATTCTATATTATTTTCATATATGTACGTATATAATTATGCATATACAATTGTGTAAACATACACACACAAACATATATGTATTGCTTCTCTTTCTTAAATAAACAATAACATATACATTTTTCCAAGTTATTTTACTTAATAATTACAGTAATAGTCTTACTGTAGTAATAGGGCACTCCATAGTTGCATATACAGATGTTCTTCATTCTTTTTTTAAATAGCTATATAGTTCTTTTATTTTTAACCTTTATCTCTTTCTTAAAACAAAATACTGTTAATGGTTAGACTTTGCCTTATTAGCAAATCTGAAAATTGTTTTAACAATGTAGGTGAGTAAACTTTTGATACAACTGAAGTTGTTTGATCTTAGTTCTACTCATACTGTTTTATGTTTATATATATTCAAGACTGTTATATAAATAGTCTGTGGCAGATTATATTTCCAAAGATGCCTGCACTCTGTATGTTCTTGTACTGTGTAACCTTACCAATTCTCCATCAAGAGGCAAATTTAATCTCTCTCCTTGTATTTGGGCTGGTCTTATCATTTACTTATAAGCAAGTGAACGTGGTAGAAATGATCATATATGACTTTCAATGTTAAAAGAGGCTGTGAAACTTTTGCCTGGTTCTTTTGGGATGCTTGTTCCAGGGGACGCCAGATACCATGTAAGAAGACTGACTACCCTCGAAGCACCACACTTCAGAAGTCACATAATGGTGCCCTGAGCCCAAACTTCCAGCCAGGACCACCAATGCACATTTGGGGGGCGGGGCGGGCGGTGAAGTTATTTTGGACCATCTAAAGCAGCTCACCTATCAGCTGAATCCTATTAAGTGACCTCAGTCTTTGCCACCAGGACCACCAGCCAAAATCCTGCCTGAATTACTAACCTACAGAATTCATAAAAGGATATTGTTTTGATCTACTAATCTCTGGGGTAGTTATGATGCAATAGTAACTGGAACACAGTCTCACTGTGGAGTCTACTTTATTTCTTCATAGACACACACACACACAAATATATGTATGTACATATAGATAGATACACACGAAAGGACAGGAATTCCTAAATTTATATGTAAAATACATAAGTATATAAAATTCCTAAATAAGAAATTCTATAAATATATAATATATAGATATTATATAGAACATACTTATACATAAAATGAAATTTGTATTTTTATAAATATATTTATACATAATATATAAAGTTTCTATATTTATAGATAAACACAGAAATATAAAATTAAAGTTTGTTTTTTTGTTCTGATAATAATCTTTTGTTTGGGTTTTGGCCCCCTACTATGAACAATCTCCCTAGATCTGATTTGAAATATTATTCTTTAAAAACTTTAAAGCAATCGGAAAACTTATTCTATTTTCATATTATCTTCATATTCTCTCATTTCCTGAAAACTTGTCCTTTAAAATATAATTGAAAATTTAAAGTATTTTAACCAAGTTGTTGGAGCATACAGTCTTTTCATATTATATACTCTCTTCCTAATAACTCTCTTAATTACTATCCCATCATTTTGGGTGTCTGAAGTTTGTTCTTTCTCTTCAAGAAGAGTTTATATGAATATCACCCTAATTCTTTTCTGATACATTTGATCGCAGCCTTGATATGTGAAAGTCTGATTCAGTTTCTTTCTTTGATTTTTTGAGTATGTTGACTCCATTGTCTCCTTTAAACCACTGCTGATGAAGTTCCGATGACCACATCATTTTCTTCCCTTTATAAAGGGCATTTTTGGGGGGCATGAAATGCCACTATTTTTTTTTCTTTTTAATTCCAGTAATTTTATTGGAATATTTCTAAGTTCTAGTTATCACCTTAGGCACATGGAATGTCCTTTTGATATGTAGTTTGAAAATAACATTTTTTTTAATTTTAGAAAAATTTTCTTATTTTAGTATTTGTTCTGTTGCATTGTTTTGGTTGTTTTTCTATGAGACTCCTATTATATGTATCTTGAATATTCTTTACCTACTTTCTACATCTGTCACTCTTGTCCTTTTTTATTCTTAATTTCTTTTTCTAAAATATTGAAATCACAAACCTTTTTCCTAAACTATTTGAGAGTAACTTGCTACCTTGATGTCTTGACATCTTTCAATATTTCAGTGTATATTTCCTACAAATAAAGATATTTTCTTATATAACCACAAAACCATCAAAATCAAGAAAGTAACATTAATTCCTTACTATCTTCCAATGCTCACATTCCACTGAAATTTCCCCAATAATGTCCTTTGTAACAAAAGGATCTAGTTTGAAATCATTAGTTATCTTATCTGTGCATGTGAGCATTTAGCTGTCATATCTCCTTTAGTTAAGGCAGTTCTTTAGTCTTTCCTTTACTTGGTAATCTTGATACTACTGAAGATTACAGGTCAATTGTTTTGTAGAATGTCTCTCACTTTAGATTTGTCTGATATTTCCACATTAAATCCAGATTATGCAACTTTGATAGGAATATTACAGAAGATATGTTATGTTCTTGCCAGTGCACTCTTTCAGGTGATATATAATATTGATATCTCCCATTACTAATATTACTAACTTTTGGTACTTGATGAAGTTTGTGTCTGCCAGGTTTCTCTACAGTAAAATTCCACTTTTTCCCTTTGCAAATAATAAGTTACTGAAACCATGTACACTTCTCTACTCTAATCAAACTTTCAACTAATTCATTTATTTATGTTAGCAAAGACTCATGATATCCTAATTTATTCAGTGGATTATAATTATCATAATTACTATTGGTATTATTATCATCAATTTGATGCAAACTGATTTGGTCAGTGAAAACTCCTTCAAACTGGATTCTGTGTCCTTTTGACATGTCTCCATCATTACTTCCTTGCTTCCTGACACAAAATATTACAGAATAATTTAGGATATTCTCTACCCCACTCCTGGAACCAGCCATTTATCCAAACAGCCTTTGTAATTTTGGTGGAAAATAGTATAATTAGAAGCCAAGATCTGAGTATTAGGTGTTCTTATTGCTAATGGACTGGCACTGAGCCCAGGCCCTCTAAGTGGATAGAGCTAGGGAATTTTATTTATATATATGTAAATAAATTTTATTTATTAATATATAAATTTTATTATATATTAGACACATTTATAACTGTTTATATCAATTGAAAATCATATGTTCATACCAATTTCTCCAATTCTAGTATTATAGAATTTATATAGTTTTCTCCCTTTCCATATTTGTAATTGTCTTCTCCAACAACGAAAATTATGGATAACATTACTCTTAGCATACATATTCAGGTGATCAATCTCTTTGTATGTATCTGTTTCTATTACCATTCACTTCCCTGATTGAGTTCTGACCA